CTTGTAGTTTATAATATCGATGTTTAATCCTTTTTGGTTTGTTTAAATTGAATTGATCAACTTAATACAACAAATTCGACAATTTACAGAGCAAATATCTCAATAGGCTGATTTAATTGCTAAATTAGTTCGATATTTTTCAGGACTTAAGGATTATAATTCAGATAGTACAATTAATCAACTAATAACAAAAGGAGCCTTTTTTTCTTTAGATTTCTATTTTTATATAAAAATATTTATTTTAAATAAAATATATTAAAATAAAGAAGAATTACGGATAAAACAAAACACTTTTGATTACATGACGAACAACTGTTATTATTGTCTGGCTAAAACAGAACTAATTGCCATTTGTTGATGAAAAAACAATAAGATCATTTTTATCTTGACGATAAAACTAATCATAGAGAAAATCTTCAAAACAAGAATTAGTTATAACTTGAATAACTATGAATTATTACTGTTGATCTATGAGAAAAATAATACAATCAAAAATTGTTAGAAAATTACAATATACTATGAATAAGCTAAACTTTAACATTGTTACAAAAAGAAATAAGTCTAAAAATAATACAAGAGAAAGTTATTACATATTTTCATCATTTCGTAAGTGAACAAACTAAATAGATTGAATAGAATTTAGTGAAGTATCGGGTCGTCCATAAGTGAAGGAAAAGAAAAAAAGAAATTGAATATCTCTATTATGACTTGACCAAATAGGCTCATTTTTATAACAAGACTAGAGGCCTGTGTTCATACTCCATTTCTATCTGGACAAGGTTAATGAAAATCTTTGTAAGTGTCAGTATTGACCACAAAAAAAAGAACTTCAATTTTTCTTTTTCACAGATTAGGAAAAAAAATACAAATATACTTGACAAAGGTTCACACTAACTTTGCCTGTATAGATTTAGAGTATGAAAATGTCTCTATCTTCAGTCAAAATATTAATTCGTTCGATCGAGTCTTAATGGAGATATTTAATTTTTTTTTAAGAAAAACTAACTTTTGAGTCACCCTGTACATTAAATTTTTCCTATTTGTAAAAAGGTGAAATTTATTTTATTGAAGTCACTAATGATACTTAACAAAGATTCTCGCCAGCCTTGCTCGTATGGGTTTAGAGTGTAAGCAGACCTCTACCCTTAGTATAAAAATGAGTCCCTTTTATCTAGTCATAATAGAAATATTCAATTTCTTTTTTCCTTTTTTTCTTACTTATGAACCACCCGGTATAAACATCGTTTTTTGATTTCTCTGTTAACTCTTTTACTGTCGATGATATATGTATATGTCCTGATATTTGTTCACTGTTGATATACACCTCATGCATTGTCTAGTTCCTGCAGGATTGTTCCATTTTGGCTTATTATCATTTTAGGATATTCTTTCTCTTTATCATATTCTATAGTACTATGACTTGCAAGATTCTAAGGGTCATATGTTATCTCATTTTCCAACTTGCACATATCTTTTCTCTCTTTCTTTCTGTCATTTGAATTCTTCTCTTTTCTTTTACCACTAGTGGTTTTTTGACATAGAAATGCAATTTCTTTCAAAAAATAACTAAAAACTTTATTTAAACATTTCTTATGAAAATTTAAATTTTCGCAAAAAAAGTCAAGAGCTAAACGATTAATACCAAAATAACTCTATATTTACCGCGATGATGAAAAAAATCTTTATTCATAATAACTAATGCTAAAACTTAAATATCTTCTATAGCTATATATACTAAACTTACAGAATATTTGCTGTTTACTTGAGTTCATTTTACTTCGAATAATCTTATCCGTGAATTTTGGTAATTGAAAAACAACGTTTAAAATAACTTCTCACTTATTACAATTATGTCATCGTCTTGTAGTAATTACTTATTAGTTTAACAATTGTTCAAATTATTTTCCCAATACATAAATACAATTGGTTTTTTTTTTCTGGCAATTTATTCATGGCAACATTCTGGTGTCACGTATAAAGAAGGATATCGATAACGGATAAACAATTTTGGAAAAATCTATAATTTTCGAAGCAATAGGGTGTGGGTGTGAGTTTGGCTTCGGATGTTAATCCTTCGTACCCACACCCACACCCTTCAGTATTTCTATTTCTGATTTCGACATACTACTATTACTTTTTATACAATATTTATTTAGAAACAACTTCTTCGATTACAATGGCAACTTCGGTCGACAAATTTCAACCACCATCTGTACCAAGAGACTCAGAAGGTTTTGTGAAAAGTTTCAATCTATCTGGTTACGATTGCCCGGAAGCTAATGAGGCACGTGCATTTTTTTGATCAGTTTGGTTTTGTAGTCATTGCAAATGTTTTCACACCACAGCAATGCAAAGATACGATCTCGGATATCTGGAATGTGATCGAATCTTTTGTAGAACAACCTGCACGTCAGAATGAAAAACTTTGGGACTCACAGTAAAGTTTCTTAGTCTAGTTTTTTATTATTTACAATCTATTCTATTGTTTTAGACTTTGGAGTAGAACTGGTATAGTAAATGAAGGCATCATTGGTAATGCCAGTCTTTGGACTCGAAAAATCTTGTTGAATCGACAAACACCAGCATTGCACACCGCTTTTGCAACTATTCTTGGAACGAAAAAACTTTTGGTTAATCAAGACCGCTATGGAATGTTTCGACCCGCCAAGGAACATCCAAAACGAGCAACAATGACCAATCTTCATTTAGACATGAATCCATGGAGATATTTCAAAGGTTTACTTTATTTTCCTTCCTACAGTTTAGGATAATTTCTAATCTTTACTCTAGATAAGGACAATTCGCATCAAGTCAAAGTTCTTACTTCATTGAGTTACAAGTATGATCATGATTGGATTACGGAAAATAATGAACCTGGCTGTGACACAGTTGGAGAACGACACGTACAGGGTCTAGTGAACCTTGCTGATAATCTAGAAGAAGACGGTGGGTTTTGGCTTTGTCCTGGCTTTCATCGCTATCTAGCACAATGGACAACTGAGCACAAAACATGGTCCTCGGAATACGGTCTCTATTCCATGTTCAATGTCTTTTACGAGTATGATATTCCGGAGCTTTTTGCCACGGCTTGTCATGTTTCTAGTCGTGCTGGTTCAGCTATTCTTTGGGATCAACGTACAATGCATGGATCACGAGCGAATAGTAGTCTTCGTCCTCGTTTTGCTCAATTTTTCAAAATGTTTCCTGCCGAGCATCCTGCTATGATACCGGAGCGTGCTGAAAACCGACGAAAGGCACTTTTAGCTAAACTTCAAGCTGTCAACATTGATCCAGAAATAGATCTTACCCTGTTAGGACGGCAGCTATTTGGACTTACAAATTGGTCTGATTAAAAACCATATATTGAAATCAAGAAAAAAACAGAAATAAACACAACTACATAATTATTTTCGATTATTTCTTGAAACATGATTTCAATGTTTTAAAAAACATAATTAGTTTACATTATACTGAATTATTTTTCAAAGAAATTTCTAGTAAACACTCGAATCAATAAAGCTTGTTAGTCACTATGGATTTTCTACTCTAGGAAATTCCTTTAAACACCTTAAAAAAACACACAAGTGATGATTTACTTACAAAATCTTTCCTTAAATTTTAAGTGAAGACGATCAGTGTCTGTCTGATGAATGTTCTTTGAAGAGAACAGTCTTGGATGAAATTCGAATTATTGAAAGTCATGAATAATACTCTTTTATTCAAAAGAATAGTATCAGTTTCAAGTATGATACCACGTGAACCGTTCTTTTTCTTTTTGTATAATGTATAAGATTTTACATCTACGTTATGAAAATCACCATTATTTTGCACATTGCAATATTTCATTATAAGATATAGCGTGCGACAGTTTACTTAAAGCAACGAACGACATTTCTTCACAGATTATTTACTTTTGCTCTAAACGATGTGCATCATTTGGGTCACAATGAGTTGTAGGAATGAACCTCAGTCAGAAATCCCAAATAAGCTAAGTTTTGATTTTTATATGGAAATTTTTATATAGACAGAAAAATTTAATTGTGAAAATTTCAAATCTTTGGATTTGCTTTGATCCTCGAAGTATAACAGTCAAAAACATAAATTTTTGCAAATCTTATTTGAAGAGAGAAACTCTAGAGAGATATCAAAATTTTCCAAATAAACTATTCTGTTTCAAATTTATCTCTTTATAAAATCTGAACTCAAGATTTGAATATCGATTCTTCTAGTGTTTCTAAACAAAAATACAACATTGTTACTACAGAATAATTTATCAGATGATACTGAAATATCAATGGGTGATATTTAAAAGTTATCGCTTACTTATGTATTAAGCTATAATAATTTAATTATTTCTTTTATTTGCAATAGCTTATGATTGTCTATATGATCAAAATATTATTTTTTTATTACAATATATCATATATAGATTCTATTAATATTCTACATAGTCGACGATAAATATATTTAAAAAAAAATATATAACGAAAAAATGAAACAAAATAATCACATTGTTGCCATATGACAAAAACTAGACGTATAGTTATCACTGTTGATATTTGTGTCGATGGTATAAATGATTTCATAGCATATATTTTATAATAAATGGAAGTATATGAGTAAGATGAACAATTATTAGAAAAATTAAGATTCAAGTTAACTGTCCTTCAGTCCATGGACCACGCATAGATATTCTTAAACATCGTGCACGAATAGATTTGTATTGAATATTACGAATAGTTAACAAACCCAATATAAACATTAATATTGATGTAAATATATAATAGAGAAATATTTGAGTAAAAACATAAATACGCATTAAAAGATTCAATTCTATTAAGTATTTATTGTAATTTTTATTTCAATTATAAGTAGATAATATAGGTGACATGTATTTAGTCGATACGATAGTTCCACTAATAATAATTATTCTTGTCTTTTGAATTGTAGTTAATGAATGACGTCGATAAGATTGTGTATTAAAACAATAACAATCAAATGAAGCTCAGATAAGCATTAAATTAGCTTGAATTAGAACAACAAATAAAATATAGAAATGTACCTTACATCCAATTGAATTATTTGTCTAATTAATAGATAAACTACATAAAAATAATGTTGGACATAAAATACAACTATAAATAATACTAAATATAGCATAAGCTAAGAAATAATATGTACATGATGATAAACGAAGAGTTCGAAAACATAATACACGTATATTAAGACTATTTGTTATAAATGAAAGAAAAAAAAAGAAAAAGTTTGCATGCAAATATTCAATCGAAGCACTTGATCAATAATATCATCCATAGTTAAGGTACACAGATTTACTACCAGGGTGGCCTGATTGTCTGAAAAGTTAGAACAGTGTCTGAAATTAGAATGCTTTTCTGATTTTCTTTTGATGGTCTGCTTTGTCTGATTTTAACACTTTCTTCTAATTTTGATATCTTCTCTACTTTTCTTCCAAATTCTGAATTTTTCTATATCGCAGCGCTTTCAACAAAATTTCTCCTAAACAGTTTTATAAATATGTATTATCTCAAAGATAATTGTTAAAGCAAATTCGAAAAAGTACAAAATATTAACAACAATATCGAGACGATATTGTGTATATATTTTTTTTTGTTTCGTAGGATTTCTTAACCTGAATAGTATCTATGTGGGCTTTTTAGAGATTTTTTTTCGTAAACAAGCTTCTAATTGAGGGAAAATGTTCGACATTATGTGTCTTTTATTATTTTTTTTTGTATGAGTTAAACGATATATTGATTGTAATGTCTTTCTCTATAGTAAAATACATTTTAAAATAAAGTATGAATCAATGAATAGAAATCCAAAAAAGTATTGGGCACCAGCTTATTAACATAATATCCATTAATTTGAAAAATTTGCCTTTCTGATTTTCAACTTTTTGATCTGACCATCCTGAGAGGGATACAAACTTATTTCTAATCCTGTCTGCGATAGAACTGCTGGTGCCGAGCGCGTTATATAAGATTGGATGTACGTATGAATGTGTGTGGAAGTATTGTGTTGCAGTAAACTCACATCCTAGTCGTTGAAAACATTGGAAATTTCAGACGTTACATCATTTTCGGAAGTCTGAACACTGTTGGAGAGACGTACTAATTTCATACAGAAATAATTATCAAGGTCATATATTGTTTGTGCTTTCTTCCTTATCCTTTTCTTTTGCTATTTTAAAAAATTACAGATACGTAATAGAAAATAAAATAAAGTAGTATTGATAAACGTTTTGTTTTATTTATTCGTTTACTATTGTACTACAATTGATGTATAAAACACCTTCATTTTTTTGTCCAATGGAATACTGAAGGAAGATAATATTCTCATCAGAATTGAAGGTATTCATTTTTATATAATTTATCAATCTAAAGAATGAGAAATGATTTTTGACTTACATAGAAAAATCAGTAAATGATTAATATAACAATTATATATTTCAAGCGAAAAAATTCCACTAATTTCTATTTATTTTACTAGATAATTAGTAGGGACGCTGGATATATAAAAACTTAGCATTTAATCATAAGAAAAAAGGTATTGCTAGAAAATGAAAAGGAGAGTAATGTATCTATCTGATCTAAGCTACGGTATTTTCTCTAATAACAGCTATTTTTTATTCTGTCGTTCGTTGTACATACTCATTTATTCTATAGCATAATTTCGATAACTCAATAAAGTTTTGAAAAAAGAAAAATCAGATTTAGTACCGAATCTATACAACAGTGATACAAACTTAATGAATATTTTTAATACTAGTCTAATTAAAATAATAACTGATGTTATACTGTTACAGACGAATTATTTAACAAAACGATATTTAATTATTCTATTGATTAAATCTACCATTGCTAATATAATATAAGCGACACAACTGTAAACTAAATGATAATGTCATTTATTTTTACTTGTTGAACTACTTAAAAATTTTCTTTTTCCTTTTCTTTTCAAAATAAAACATATGTCAACTGGTTCTTTTTTCTTTCGATTTATTATTTCCACTTTTCCACCTGAATAAAATATAGTATCTAAAAGCCACTTTGAGATTAAAAATAATCAAAAAATGATATATTGATTGACAATAAAAGCAAACAATCAATTTTACAGATCCATTTCATTATCTCAAATTTTTTTTTTTGCATGTATGTGCACAAATGACTACATTTTTAAGCACTAGGGTTAATACCATGATAGTTTTAGTGAGACAATGCTTGCTTTGATTATTTTTGTAAATTGTTAAGAGCACATATACAAAGCAGAATAAATATTCTTTTAAAAAGTTGAGGAGTCGAAGTTTATTCAAGGTCATTTTTACAGGTATAACATTTTCGATCGGTCAATGTTAAAATGATTCATATCAAGTGACATATCAAGTGTTCTTTTTCTCGAAAATCATTCTCTTTTACAGTTAGAAAGATACTAATTATACGAGGATCATGAAACAGTACTGAGCATTCTTCTATTGTTGTGAAATGACGAATATTTCTATAGATGCAAGTGAATGATATATGAATTTGAATGCAGATGATCGAAGAGAAGATCCACATATTTATACATTTAGGATTCTACGCATTATTGTTGTCTACTAATTGAAGACTTAGATACTATTCTTCTTATGATTTACACTTACACCTAAACCCGATTATGTTCTTAGATCTTAATATTGAACAAACATATCATTTAGAATTCTGTTGACTTTTAATAAATTTTTATTCAAAATATTATAATTTCATGTTTTTTTTTTTTCGACATATATTTCTTAATGAGAATTCAATTTTATTTTCATGGAAATATTTAAATACAAAAGACATATACGTATGAATATTTTCATTTTTTTAATCAAATATTATTTTTTAGAAATGATAGAGAATTAACATTATCGATTAAATTCGAATTTCCATCTTATAGACTGTTAAAGATCCTTGTGATATATTGCTTTTAGTCTCTTCAATTTAACTGTTATTGAGAGAAATGAACTATAAATTATTTGAACTCTAATTTTGCTGAAATATGCCACCGATCTAAATAGATTCAAATGATTAAAATAATACTACAATTTTCATTGAAATTTATAATTCAATATTTATAACTTGTTCTGAAGAAAATGACCTTATTCTCATCATAATCTACAGTTGACATAAAGTCTGCTTTTAGAAAAACAAACAAAATTATGCACTGAGGACATTTTTTAGCTGCATAAAAAGTGCAAGAAAAATTATGCTTGATTATTTTCAAATATATTTTTTGACTGATTATCCTTGATTTTCAATATTAATTACATTACGTACTTCACTAACTATACAAGTTGTTAGAAAAGATGAAATTTTAAAATGATTCAAATTTTAGAAAAAGTAAGATTTTCAATTTTAAATATTTTAATATACCATAAATTAATAAGATAAAATTTAGAAGTAACGATGACCTAACAAATTTGAACAACATAAATTTGTTTTAGATAATCCTTTTTTTATCATTCATACAAATGTCATTACATAAATATGTATAAAGCACTTTATCAAGCTAGAAATAGATTTCGTCTCAATATAAAAATTTTAAAAGAATAATGCAAAATGCAAAAGAATACAATATTTACTTTTTCAGCCATCATGTTAAAAGAGAAACGAAAAAATAAAAATCATAAAAGATGAAAAATAATATATTTCTTTTTCAAAGCATAGGATATACTTTGACTAAAGGTTCATTTAGATAGGTAAATTTGTCAAATGACAAAGAGAATAACCCATTCTTTCTATTAATATTGTGTCTAGTAGCTTAAAAACTTTGATTTTTAAATATTATAAAGACATCATGACAGTAAAAAAAAACAATAAAAGCAAACAACAGAGAATACTACTGTTCTTCATTGGAAAAGATAGATAGGAGAGAATTTTTTTCTTTATTATTTTCTTCGTAACCATAAGAAATAAAATGGTTTCAATTCACGTAAGTAAACTTCGAATAAGACATAAGAAAATTCATGTACAAGTATGTATATTAAATAAAAAACTTATTTGATTTCTTCCTGCATCTATATACACATGTCTTTACGTTTTTCTTTTGTTTACTTATATTTTTCTCTTGAAAGACGAGATCTTCGCCGATTGCTGAGTAAATATTACAAATTTACCGTAGCTCTTACATGAATACTGTAGTTCTATTGTTTCAGATCTTTTTTGGTATATTGAAAGATAGAAACAATGATAAAATTTCAAACACTCATAAAAAACTATTTTTTCTGTTCGAAACATTATCATTACAAAGGTTCGGGTCGAAATTTGAAAATCAATTTTTTAGTTTTAGTGCTTTTTAAAGGAGATCAGAATATTCGGTTCAAAATACACCATAAAAGTACAATAAGCTAACGACCTGAAGTATTTTTATATTATTCATAGTTCATTTTTTTCTACGAAAAGTGTGTAGTCTCGATTCACCAACAATTCATCAGTTGAGAAAACTTCATTCGTTAGTTTGTTTTGAATGAACTGAATTAATCTAATACAATAATTGAAGATTGCTATATGAATCTCTATTGTTCATTTCAGAGATAGATGCTCGTGGGTATTTTTCGAATAACTTTCAATAGGAATAAAATAGAGACCTGTGGGTGTGATCGTTGGAAAGAGCAGATAAAAATACATCGAATCCATATATAGAAAGATTTTTCTAACATTTTTCCTGAATGTTCTGTATAATTCTTCAAAGAAAACGGCATGCCTCTCATGACTATGGTGTTAATATGTTGATTTTCGGAACTGTGCTAGAACTGTCAAATGAAGAACTACAAGAAAATACGGAAAGACTCTATGTTTAACCACAACCAATAAGACGTTTCACTCGTTGGAATGCAATTTACTACCCAGTTTTTCAACAAAATCGTCGAAAAATGAAGGTTTATGAGGTTTTTCGATACAGAAAAAAACACATTTTTAACATAGGAGAAAAACGCAATTTTTTGAAAACGTTTGACTAGAGTCTTCAGGAAAGCAGTTAGAAGAATCTTTTTATATATGGTTCGATGCATTTTTATCTGCTCTTTCCAATAGTGAAAACTTCAAGTCTCTATCACATTCTTGTTAAAAGTTATTCGAAAAATACTCACGACCATCTATGTCTGAAATGGGCAATAATTATATTTTCAAGCAATAAGATAAATATAGTACTTAATATTCAATTTGCAATAGCTTATACTTTTTATTTCTTGTTGATGAAACATGCTTTATCTTTTTTTATATTTGTTTTATACATTTAATAGACAATATAGGCTGTCGATCGTGGAAACTTCGCGGAGTGCTATGTCCTATATGAGAGGTCTTAATGTATACATTTTAATATCTGTGATTTAGTAAGAAAAAAAGCAGTATGCTTGAATAAGCATGGTCTTTTTTTTACAAAGCTTTAGCTCTATATTAAAACGTCTACGACAAAGGAGAATGAATAGTTCCTAATTCGATATAAAGTATTTATGTGTTTTATTATGTAATATATATGAGTGGAATAATTGATGTTTTTCAATAAAGTAAGTATTATGTAATACTTAATAGAGGACGAAAAAGACTGACATAATATATAAATTTACCATTTTTTCTTGTACATCTCTTAGTAGTTCATATCATCTATGGATCTGTTTTATGTTCTCTATTTCTCAATAAAAAGTATAGAATATATTAGAATTTTTTTACGTATTATATTGACTTCTTGTCTGATAGTCCTCTTTCTTGGTTTTGGTCAAACACAATTTATAGCTGACAGAAATAGATATTAATACTTTTTAGACAATGTCATTAAAAAAACTAATTGCGGCTAATAAAAAACCATCTAGTGACTATTGGACACCCTCCCTATCAGAAATTGTAATCAATGCTCAATTAGATAATGATTCATTTTATGAAGACAGCAATAATCAAACAAGGTATAAAGCTAAGTAAATAAAATAAAGTTTTTTTCATTTACTTATCATAGACATCGACGATCTGCCATAGTAGATGATGAACATCGTGCACATCGACCATTGAAACTTTCTACAACTAAAACTATTTACAAAGTAATTAAAAAGATAGTCTATTTTTTTTTCAAATTCTATCTTACTTAGAATTCAAAACCACATCGATTAATTGAAAAACGACGTCGAGATCGTATGAATCATATTCTTGATGTTTTATTAAATTTGATACCTCATAAAAAGCCTGAAGTATGAATTTACACTTTTTTTTTCATATTACCTATTCAAAATTTTGTTTTTCTTGTTAGAATGGACGTCGTATTGAAAAAACTGAAATTATTGATATGGCAATTAAATATATTCGTTTATTATCATCAAATAAAGAATCTTGTATTTTGAAATAATTTTTTTATTTCTATCGATTATAATTTCTATTTGTTCCTAGGTGAACCATTAACTTTCGATAAAAAATCATATTCAAAAGTTGCTGCATATCTTACAGGATATAGTAATGGAATTCAAGATATTTATGAACATATAGAGAAACATACAAATGATAAACAACTTCTTAATAATCTATTGCAATATATCGACGAAAAAGAAATTGAATTAAAAGATTTAACAGGTTAGAATTCTAACTAATAGAGATATAATAAAAACCATGAGCAAAACTCACAAATTTCAAATAATATTTTTCATATATTTTAGTTATATGTGATAAGAAAGACAGTTTAAAACGTCAAACATCTTCATTAAAAAAATCTTCACAAGTAAATATTGACAAACCAAATTCGAATGTTGATCAATTTTCTATATCTAATACGAACAAATCACAAGCTGAAAACATTTTCCAATCTTCTATCAATGAAGAAATTAATTCAATTAAAAAATCAGAAGTACCAATATTTGTTTTACATCCATCTGGTACACATTATATTCCGATGTGTATTGATTCATCAATTGTTTTCAATACATTTAATAATAATAAATTTAATCAAACTCAGATATTATCGATAAATGAACAACCTCATTGCCATCCTGTATCGATTCCTGTGAATTTTAATCCAGTTTTAACTCTATCAGATCAATATGAACTTGATATTCAAAATATAAATGTTGTCGCTACTAGATAATAAACAAATATAAAATATAGATAACTATGTAATTGACTCTTTTTTTTTGTATGTTTTGCATTTCATCATGAATAGTTTTTTTTCCCTTAACAATTTGAACAATACTGAACGAGCAAGAAGTAAAAGAAAAATTTTTTAACAAGTAACATAAAACATTGAAAGTCTATGAAAAGAAAAAGTCACGACGCTCTACAATAAGAATAAAGTACTGTCTGCTATTCGGAATAAGTATTCTTTTTTACATTATGAATGTCATTATTGAATTCGCTTACAACAAATAGACTCGATTTTCATCATATTTCAAATTTATACAATTAGAAACAAAAGACAGTAAGATTTAAGTAACTTGTTTCATTTTAATTATAGCTGATAAATTATATTAATCATGGTAACCTTAGTACGAATGTAAAATATATATGTATGAAGTTATGATATATGAATAAGAATTTCATTATAGAGACCTGTGCCATCACGATTACGGCCCAATGTTGCATTAAGAGATGTAAAGATAATCTTTCGAGATATGATATACGACGAAGAAGTCCAACTTCATTATCCTAGAAGGTGTAAAACAATGTTTGTGACAAGAAAATTCATTTAGACAATCCTTTGATATATACTATTCAGAAATAATATTAAAGTCAATTACTGTTTGCTTCGAAATTTTCAACAATGGAAAACGATAATAGTAAGAAAATGGAAAGAATAACTATGGAAAAAGACAGCATATTGAAATACTGATATAAAAAAAAATTTCTATTTAACCCATTTTAAAATGTTTATCAAATAAGATATAAATTTATCATATGATGGTCAAATGTTGATTGATTCTTTGTATAATAAACAACAATAATTAGTGTTGATCATTGTTTAAGATAACCATCAATCAAGTAAGCAAGTCCAGGTCGATCAATCTGATAGTAGAATCCGATAGGTTCCGTCTCGGATCCTATCGGATTTTCTCGGAAAACCGGTGACGGAAACCCTGGTATCGGCAAATCCTATCGGATCCTATCGATGATATCCGATCGGAAGCCGCCGGAAAGGAACCGATCGGAAACCCCTCTCGGCAACCAACATTAACCTTACTAACGCAATCCGATCGGTTACCACTATTGATCAACAATTCAATAATATATTCATGATCCTCAAAACACCTGAAAACACAATAACTACTATACACGAATTCAAATAACAATATGCAATACACAAGATGATTACGAAACAATTCCGAAATCTGAATCAAATAATAATGTCTGCTAAGCTATCCTCATAAAATCACCACCAGTCAGCTACAGCCTTTCCTCTAAAGTCAGCAAAAAATTACTCAACATTCCTCCCTAACGACACATTTTCATGAATTACAAAACTACACGAGTTTTATACTCAAAATCCCCTTTCAATCACATAATCAAACTGGCGTACAAAAATTGATGACAGCAAAAAACACACTCAATTTCAGCTATACCGTAACTCTCAAAGTTTTCAAACGTCTATTTTCAAAATCCGATGGAACCTCATAGATTACAAAATTATCTCAATGATAATCTCCAAGAGATCTATCAAGGCAAACATTTGGAGCCATTTCAAGAAATCAATTATCAAAAGCCCATCGGATTCCAGAGGATAAAACCTTAAATCAACGATGACATCCAATCGAGATATGTAGACACATTTTTGGCCATTTCTAGAACCCAATTTTCAAAATCCCATCGGATCCAATAAGCTCGAAATTTACATAATTGCTTAGCTCCATAGGAGATATGTAGACACATAGTTTTGGCCATCTCTACCCATGGCGAACAATCAGATAATAAGACGTTACAAGAATCGTACGTATGATCATATTTGATCTGGGACGATCAGACGAAAATCGTACGGAAAATCGTAGTCTCTGATTTCTTACACCGAGTCATATTAAAAAATCCTTGTAAGACTCTGCTGCGTCGTGAACTAATCACAGCAGTATTCTATTTAAACTAATATGACCCTCAAATAGCACTATAAGTTTGTGGTGAAAATGAAGTGCATATAAGATCTTCATAGGATCTTAAAATACGACTTGGTATGGGTGTGGGTGTGTGTGTATGAGTACGAAGATAAGACACTTATACCCACATGCACACTCACGCCCACGCACACCCACACCCAACGATTTCGAGTACCAAATGAAAATCGAAAAGATATTATGGACTCATAACACATTCCGATGATGACAAGCTTCTTGAGAGTGAAAATTCAAACGAGCACCAATGGCGGAAACTAAACACTGATGTTGTCTTTTTTTACTGGTCTCTGCATTTTGATTGATTATCAAAAAGAGCGGAATAAAGTATGAAACAGCAAAGTAAAAATTCAACGTATAATTTTGTTTCACTGCTTTCTTGCGCATGAAAATTTCTGTGATATCATGTGAGTCATTGCTGTCTATCTTCAGTCACTGTCGATTGTCTATTGTACTTTGTTTATAATTTCAATTAGTTTGAGATCATCCGACCGATTATAGAAAAGTAAGGCCTATTTATATCTACGAGTTACACACATGATCAGAAAAACAATATTCCTTTTTTTCTGTCTTTATTCAAGAGAAGTATAGTTCACTATTCATCTTCATATGAGATAGCATCGCTTTTTTCTCTCGATTGTATACCTGCATTATGCGAAGAAAGAAAAGTTGTATTCTATCTGTTTTAGGTAATAGCTAGTCTTAGTGTCTTCTTAAGTGTATATTTTCATTCAATGTCACAGTCTAGCTACCTGTCGTGGTTCTGTATGTCAATTATTGTTCTGTAATCTTCTAGCATAGTGTTGAATCTTGTGAGCATTCTCAGTTTTCATTGAACTGATTAAATAATTTATTTATTAGTAATTACAATTTGGATTCCAATTCTTTACATTAAAAACTACATTATCAGCTTTATATTTGCTTAGCCATCTAATGGAGTAGTTATTTTAAATATGTATGTCGAATTTCTCATTATAAAGAGTATCAAGATATAATCTTCTAGTAAGTGAATGTTCAAAGATTGACGCTTAATAATTCGCTTATTGTTTACCATATTTATGGATTCTGCATCCTTGTCTCTGTAAAATAAGAAATTAATAATGAAACTTTCGAATAAAAGAGACTATTTAAAGTAAGAAAAAGAATAGGAAGAAAAAATATGTTTAGATAGGCTTTTCATAGACAGAAGACATTGACAGAGTTATTGTCTTGAGAATACTATGAGTTTCCAGATTAAATTGCTTTCCGACTTCTATGAACGACAAATAAAGCCATTAAAGCTCTATGTTTGTCTGCAACTATAAAAGTGCACTTTTGCGTTTTATTCATTCTACCGACTCTCCTCAATTATTTTTGGCTTGATATTATTGTCCATGTAGACATCAAATTTGAGACATACTTTTCCACAGTATTCTGTAAAACAATCGTTTAGAAGCTTTTCCTTTTTGCAAAACATATCATAGGTATGAACCATTGATTTCGACGTTTAAAATCTACAACAGGGATATTTAAGCAAAGTTACTTGAGAAAAACTTTATATAGCTCTTTTTGTTTTCTATGAATATAAAGTTTAGCGTCATGAATCATGCAGAAAAAGCCAGTTATATTAGACTATGGTCATAGCCATAGAAGTGAGAAATACTGTCACCAAGAATGCTGCGAACTATGTGACAATCATAGCTACGAAGAGTCAAAACGATGCTGTGTATATCGTTTATTGTCTAATTTTTTCAAAGTTTTACATCACAATTTTTGTCCGAAAAATAAGTTTTAAACTTTCTTGCTTTGGTAGTGCGCATAGACACATGAGTAAGTCTTCATTAAGAAAAAATACATGCACTTGAAAAACATGTTGTTTAATTAATGCATGTCGTCAATTCAACTAAGTTATACATGCTGTTATGAACTTCGCACATATGATGCATAACGAATACTAACTGTATATGGCGTTGGGATATGAAAACGGTAGCTCTTATGCTAATGTATCGATTTCGGACTATGAAATTGGGCGAAATGTCCGTTTTTGGTTGTTTCTTGGATTTGACATACCCTCTATTGTCTGTTCCGTCTTCGTCCTCTATCACTTATTACGGAAACAAGTCTTGCGTCAAGCACTTCACAATCATTCCTCAATTCTCATGCAGTCATTCAATTTTATCTATCAGTTAGTCGATATTCCATGTCATTTACAATATTTCTATACAGGAATCATTCGTCCAGCTACGCCGATCTTCTGTCTTATATGGTGGTTTATCGATAGGGGATTCTTTTTCATCAATGTGACGTTGCTTCTGTGGACAGCTATTGAACGACACATTGTTTTTTTTTTCATACTACATTATCAGGTACATGGCAAAAACGTCTGTTCATTCACTATCTTCCACTTTCAATGATTATATTGATTCTTATGGTTTTCTACATCGTAGCAATATTCGCACCACCTTGCCAGAATACTTTTGATTACACAATAGATCTGTGTGGCATGTTTCCATGTTATGAATCTGTGCTTTTTTTTGCTACAGTTGAACAAATTGGTTTTGCTTTTATATCAATGTCACTCATCACAATATTCAGCATATCTCTACTTATACGTATAATTTGGCAAAAATATCAAATTCATCGACAAATTCAGTGGCGAAAACAATGGAGATTAACTGTGAACGTTATTTTTATATCGTTATTATATTTATTTTTTTTGTTTTCCAGTGTCGACTATTTATCTAGTTCAAGATTATAGTCACCCTGGTTTTGCCAACGAGCTTGAACCAAAACTATTCTTTTTATCATATTTTCCAGTTTTTTTACTACCATTCATATACCTTGGCACTATACCTCGACTGTGGACAGAAGTAAAACATTTCGGTCGACTAAAAACACGGAGAATAGGGATCATCACTGTTCCACCATAAATAATACTATTCTGCCATCTGGTATAGAAAAGCTGCGATCTTTGACATATACAAAATATACTTATTAATAATTGAATAACAACAAAATTGGACGCTATTTACATTCTATGACTGAGCCATGCATTTTCTAGTCAATACTGGATATGATGTGTCTGAGTCTTAATTGGTAAACAAATTTTAAATTGACTCATAATTTACTTATATGTGTCTTCGCTAATACTGTCATTTAACTATAAGCTGCTATAGATCGAAAATCTCCTATTTTTATGTACCATAATGCAAGTAATTGTTTGATTCTTATTTTCATTATCCTATGTATAGAATTTATGTTACGTATTTTTCTTTCTCGTGCCACAATTTACAATAACTTATTTTCGTGCAATATCACTGCCAAAGGTTTTTAAAAATGTTGAAAATACTTTTTGATTCTATCTTTTACTTTTATTCTGAACCTTTTTCTGTAATTATAATATTTTTTTAGAAACCATTGTAACGGAAGCATGATATGCGATTACGGTTGCATTAACCTAAATATGTAAGGATTCTGATTGTTTCATATTTAGATGAAAAGCAGCTAATCAATCTTTCTTATTTCTAAATGGCTTCCATCTATTTCAAGGCTCCTATTATGAAACAAGCTGTCATCAATTTTATCAATTTCAATACGTTTTTGATGCTTATCAATTGGTCTGATTAATTGATCACTCGTTTAGTACGAGAAGATTCATGTGCGAATCTTCGACTTCGATAATAGTCAATGTTTAAGGTAGTTTTGTTTGCTACATTATATAATCGAGATCGAACCTATGAATTCATCGATGCATTTTCACGTTTTTGAAAATCAAGTATGCATTTTCAAATTTAGATTTTATACAGAGAATAAAATTGAATTTCTGCCATTTCAAAAAATCTAGGACTTTCTCACTAGTAAAAATTCGACAGATATTACAATACATCCGTTAAAAACTGCAAACTGTTATTATCATAATTTCGATTTTTTTTCTACTGGAGACAAATGTCAGGTACCGATAACTTTGGTATCCACTTAGAATCAAACAGTGATGGAAGATTTTGTTCAAAGTAAGTAGGTCCTTGTCGAGCAGAATGTCCCATAGATAACGGTAATGTGAGAAAAAGAATGCAATGTGTTAAAAACCATCCGAGAGGCGCTGATAGCCGAATAGCAATGTACAGGATGTCACAAAGGGTGGAGTGTGGGTGTGGGATCTGGATCTGGGTCTGGTTCTGGGTGTAGATGTAGAAAGCACTCATACCTCCACCCACTCCCACACCTACACCCACACCCACCTTTCTGAACATCGACGATACTTGTTCAATATATTGAAAATATGGTGTTCGAATCACAAGTATGATTTTATGTCCGTTTCATTTGATTTAAAAGAAGGAGAAGGTTTTATTTTAAATATATTATATGATCAAAATAATAATCTTAAAGTTAGTATCAAATGTAACTGTAGTACATCAATAGGATTAACAGTAAAAGATGAATAAATACAGCTCTCTAATTTTCAATCGCATTTGCGCTCCACAAATTGTAATCATATAAGAGCGATAAAAAAATGAATGAAAAACAAAAGAAAATCATGGTTCAAGAATCAACAGATACTTTATCATCGTCGACGTCTATGACATTAGAATCATCATCACCAATACAACAACCTGCTTTACTAGTTCCTGTTTCTGTTTCCATTGGGGCATACTCATCTATGAATATTCCTTCTGCAAATACGCAAACACCAGCATCACAAGCAAATTCTTGTAAACGTGGCCATTTATCATCTCAAGTAGCATCATCACAAAAAACGAAAAGGAATTTTTCTTAAACATATGCATCTTTATCCTTTTCATGATTGGCTGTATCTTTGCCAAACATTTGCTGTTTTTTATTTTTACTGTAATAAGTTATGGGTGTAGGTGTGGGGTGTGGGTGCGGGTGCGTGTGGGTGTGGATGAGTGTGAGTGTGGATGTGAGTGTAGGTGGGTGTAAGTAAATAGAATAGCACACACATGCCAACACCCACATCACACCCTCAAGTGATTCTCAACTCTTCTTTGTATTAAAAATATTTTTAAAAAAAAAGTGAAATGATGCATAAATTTTGATGTTTCTCAGCCAAATTGGTTCATCTTTTCAAGTTCTTCTGCTTATATAGTTAACTGTTAACTCTTGAAATATGTCCAGTACATAAAAGATGCGTCAAAGTTTATTTAAAGCAGAAGAAAATTTTAAAAGTCTAAAAATCTCCAGTCCAGAAACGAGATTTGCTATAAAATCAGAAGTCGAGTGTCCGAAAACTTGTATATAAAGAATAAAGTTTTTGATTAATTCTACCTAATCTTTGAAATTTTAACATACAATAAAACACTTTTAATTAATAACGAGCGATTCATTTAGTTCTTTTCTTTAGAATGAGACTCATCGAGTAAAGGTTTTTGGTCTGGGCTTGAGCGTATTTTTCTGCTATCCACACCCATACCCACATCCAATGTCAACAAACGATGAAATCAATATCGGCACAATTTGGTTACGAATACAGCTTAGTCAACTCACATGTTGGATAACGCAAGTCTCTCAATACAACTAGTTTGTCTTTTCTTGACTTTTAGGGTGTGGGGTGTGGGTGTGGGGTGTGGGTGTGGATCTTCTCATAATTTATACCCACACACCCACACCCATACCCACACTCACACCCATATCTCAAGTTCTACGTATGCGTTCTACATAGATTGAAGCCATACATGCTTACTTTAGTCTAAGTATAACGCACTTTGCATGGGATTTGAGGTAAATAAAACATTTTCTGCAACTCTCAGAGTTCCCTATCAATGTCAAACTCTAACTAAGTAGTGCTAGTCGGTTTTTACCATGTTTCTGAGAAGCTATCCTTATTAAAAAAAAAACAGAAGGAAAAGAAGGATTTTAGTAGTAAAAAAGGACACTCTACAAGAAGAAGGAAAGAAGGACCGTTGCGAGGCCTAAATATTTCGAAAAAATAGCATTTTTTTTTTATTCATGCATTGAATTATTAAAGATGCGAATCTAGTGATAAGTTTCGAAAATGTATAAATATGTGTAACTCGATCGATGAGAGGAATATTTTGATTAGTAAAATGAATACAAAATTATGTGTATTTCTGGGAAAATTTGAGTTTTAAGTGTTTCGGCTAAGTTAGC